GGTCTCCATGGCAACCCTAGCCTTGAGCTTTCATGTGTGGCTCCATGGAGACCAGCACCAGCCATGCACAGAGGCAACTGGGAAACCGAGTCCACTGCCGACTGGATCCAGCTCACAGGCCAGACTTTGTCCCTCTCTGACTTATAGGATACAGCTGATAGCATGAGAGTTACTCAATTATAAAAAAAAAAAAAAAAGTCTCTCTCAAGTACCACTGCCTGTGTTTGTGGTCCTGCAATCACCACATTAAAAAATAGATATATTTCCTTGTTTTCAGTGCGACTGTGTGGCATACTTACATGCAGGGTGGAAGCTCCAGAGAGCAAAGTATAAAAACAGATTGCATACAAACAGAAAACAAAGAGAAATAGTTTTTCATCTATGTATGTGAAACAGTAGCACGAAACCATGTCTGAGTTGTATCCCTCAATAGCAGCTCTTCCTTTCTTTAATATAGTTAAGTGCTTGCTGCAAGAACATGACAGTTTATGTTTACTGTCCTTATTTAATAGGTAAAAATATTTTAAAATGGCTAATTAGAATGCTGTATTCTCTTCGTTTCACAACAAGTTACTGATTTTAATAAATTTGTAGAAGCACAAAAGGAAAGCCAAAAGTAAAATACAAGCTTCAAATATAATATTGCGTAGACTTCATACCCCAAAACTGTTTTGTGATCAGACTTCAGATCTATTCCTTTAAGCACAAATGACTGCTTTCCATTTTTAATAGAAAATTTTTGAAAGTTAGATAGTTCCTGACCCTCGTAACAATCTTCTTACCGTGGTTTGTGCTTCCTCTTGCAAAGCCACATGCGAATAGTCTTTTGCATTTTAATGCAGGCACTAGCGCGGTATTTAATTTTGTTTTTTACTGTAAAAAACACACACAAAAATTAAAATGAGTCTGAACAGTATTGTAGTTTTAAAATAGTTCAATACACCTCTGACATCCCCTGATATAGCTGGCAAGTTTGCAAGATAGCTATTTAAAAAGTGAGGGCCCAGAATGACAAATATGAACAGAATGACAAGTCGCCAAGGGCTAGATCCTTGGATGTCACAACATTAGTAGTTGAGACACCTAACTTCCATGTTTTGCTGCCTAGTGAAAGTTAAACCACAAAACTCCTCAAACAATATGTAGGATAAGTCTAGCACCTATGAATAAGATTCAGAGAAGCCAGCAAGCTAAACAGAGCAAGAGAGGACAGGACTGAGGTCCTCAAAAATACCTAGACACTAGTTCATACCTTAACTTTGTTCGGGATTCTCTCCTATGGATATAGGAGAGCCCACGGATACCGGCTCAGCCCATTTTCCCAGATATAGGGGTGGAGGCGGACAAACGAGGATTCATGAATGGGTTAACCTTTGGTAATTTACGCATATGCAGGCCTTAAAATGAATGTAATCCTGTCCCAAAAGTCCCTGGGTTGACCCAGAAAAATTCTCAGACTTTCAAACACCAGCCTCTCAGTGCACAACCTACTTGTTTTTCATGTTTTCAGCCACACGTTTGTGTGCAACTACCAGGGGGCAATTTGCTCCAGTTTATGCCTTATATTTCATGTCTCTGTTCCTGGGTTCAGCATTGTGAGGGAGGGAGGAAAGGGCAGAGGCAGGGAGGAGGGTAACCAGCTTATAAACTCCAATTCAGATTACCAAACCTCAGGTTTCCCACTTCCCCCCCAGGGTTTAACACCCAGCCAATATAACATTCTGAGGTGGAATTCTCCATCTCCTCTGCTGAATCCATTTAATGTGATATATATAAATATTCACAGGAGAAGATACTTTCAACTTGATTCCCTGCTATCCCAGATGAGTACCTGAATCACTGGGCTAAAGATTCAGTTTCCAGCTCTCTCTATCCAGTCTAATAGATACCTAATTAGCAATGGAATTCTCCTGAGATCTGAGAAAGCTGGGTTCAAGTCATTGATCCAAATCAGTCAGGGAGGGAATTCAAATCTGAATGCTAGGATAGGACTCTAATCTCTTGGGGCATTTATATACATGCTCCAGGAGGCGGGGGGGGGGGGGAAGAGGGCAGGAGCAGGGGCTTTAATTAGAGCTTTAAAGTGCCCCCACCACCATTTTCCAGTGTAGGGACACCAATACATGTGATGCTGGAGTCTGCTGCAGCATGGTTATTACCAGGCTCTAGCAGACTCGATTAATCTTAATTACAGTGCATCTGAGTAACCTTGATGCATGTGTATAGGTGTCCTCAGATACTGGGATTCATAGATTTATAGATTGTAGAGTCGGAAGGCACCACAAAGGATCATCATGTCCGACCCCCTGCCCCTGGCAGGAAAGTGGACTGAGGTCAGATGACCCCAGCCAGGTGACTATCAAGCCTCCTCTTGAAGACCTCCAAGTTAGGTGACAGTACCACCTCTCTTGGGAGCCCATTCCAGATTCTGGCCACCCTTACTGTAAAATTTCTTCTTAATGTCTAACCTGAATCTACTCTCCACCAGTTTGCATCCATTATTCCTAGTTACTCCTAGGGACGCTCTAGTAAATAGCACATCTCCAATTCCCTGTTGTCCTCCCTTGTTAAACTTATAGGCAGCTACAAGGTCTCCCCTCAGACATCTCTTGTGAAGGCTGAAGAGATCCAGATCCCTCAACCTCCCCTCGCAGGGTCTTTCATGGAGGCCACTAATCATGTGAGTGGCCTTCCTCTGAACCCTCTCCAGATTCTCCATGTTCCTCTTGGAGTGCAGCACCCAGATCTAGACACAGTACTCCAACTGCAGCCTGACCAATGCCAAGTGGGGGGGGGGGGGGGCATCACTTCCCTTGATCTGTTGGTCATGCATCTGCTAATGCACAAGGTGCGATTGGTCTTGTTGATGGCCTTGTTACACTAACAGACACAAAATACAATCCTTAAGAGTTTTGACCCAACTGCCTTGTGTGGTGTAGGCTTCCTCTAAGGATGCCTACTGGATTAGGGCCAGTCAAGTCATAGCTCTGTGCAGGTAAGTCTGTGGAAGGGAAGGGGCATGAGGGACGGAAGAGGAACGGGAGGCAGATTAAGCCCCCCCGGTGAGGGAAGAAGTGGAGCAGGGGCTAGGGGTGCTGCCCAGCCAAGGCCGTGAATGGGACCTGGGGTGGGGATGGGGAGAAGGACAGAGCTGCAGAAAGCTTGTCCAGGGGATCAGTGTCCCAGTGCTTAAAAATCACGGCAGGCACACTTGAACGAAAGCTTGTCAAATGAGCTTTAGTTGAAGTGCCGCTGCCACCATTTAAGTGTGGGGACACTTTTAACTGAAGGGCAGCTGAGCAGGATAAGGGCAGGTGTGGGCTCTCTGCCTTGCTGCCTTTGCCTCAGGGCCCTGCAGTCACACATTCCCTGTCCGCCCAGCAGCAGGGCACACAACTCACTGCCCTCACTGCTGCTGGGCCAACAGGGGTTGCGCAGCCAATGCAGAGCCCTCGAGGCAAAGGTAGTCGAATGGAGAACCTTGAGCCCACAGCATGCAGCCTGCATCTGCCCCATATACAAGTCTGCGGGGGCACAAGCACCCCCATGTCTCCCCCTTGTGGTGCGCGCAGCAGCAGGGAGCCACTCCCCATCTTCACTCCCCCCCGCAGCTCCATCCTGCTCCCTGCCCTCACCCTGGGTCTTATTCACTGCCCTTGTTGGGCAGCGCCTCCAGCCCCAGCTCCTGTCCCTGCCCCACTCCCTCTCTCACCATGGGGGCCTTGATCTCCACCCCCATGCACCTTCTCTCCTCCTACAGCCCTTCCCTCCACAGATTTACCTACTGGTCACTGCTCTCCATGCTGCCCAGCTGCTTTCCTGGCCATGTGCATGCATGTGACTGTGCGCATGCATGCAGCATCCAGGGGCCCTGGCCAGAGGGCTTACTATATTTATTGGTGACATTATCAGCTACACTGGCCAAGAAAAGCCAATAGATGATAATGTTTAACTTTCCTTTTATCAGTGCTGATCCGATATGGCACCAATATATCGGTGTACCTCTAGTTGGGTGTCAAGCATTTTAAGAGGCATCAAGATTTACGTGTTTTTCCCCATGCCCACTGAAGGACACTGGGATAACTAGGGACTTCAGGTTCCTACAGTTAGATAGCAGCTGGGCAGGGGTTTAGTAATGTTAGTAGCCCATAAATGTTGGCTTACATGCATAAACGCATTTAGGCAATCAATTCTTTTCATGAATCTACCTCCTATGCTCACATGATGAGCTGCTAGTTCAGCATCAGGGTGTCTGTGCATAAGTTAAATAACGGGTAACGTGGGGCCTCTGCAAGACATGCTAGGAAAACTGGCAGTCACACCAGATGACAAAGTAACCTATTTAACAATTTCTTTGCCTCCATTTTCCTGAGCAGGGACCGGATCAGCACCCCCACCAGGACCCCTTCAGGCCCCAGGGGAGGTGCACCCAGGCCTCGGGTCAGTGAGGATCTAGTCAGGGAACTTCTGGAGAGACTGGACATATTTAAATCAGCTGGTCCTGACGATCTCCACCCCGGAGTGCTGAGGGAATTAGCAGAGGTCATTGCGGGACCACTGGCACAGCTTTATGAGCACTTGTGGTGCTCTGGTGTGGTGCCAGAGGACTGGAAAAGGGCCAATGTGGTTCCCATTTCCAAAAAAGGGAGGAAGGAGGACCCAGGAAACTATAGGCCAGTTAGTCTTACCTTGATCCTGTGTAAGTTTTTGAGAGAATTATCCTGACACATGTTCACAAGGGGCTAGAGGGGGAGGTTATGCTTAGGGGCAACCAACACAGGTTCACTACAGGCAGGTCCTGTCAGACCAACCTGGTGACTTTCTATGACCAGGTCACAAAATCCTTAGATGCAGGGGTAGCAGTAGACGTAGTCTTTCTGGACTTTAGAAAGGCCTTTGACACTGTCTCTCATCCCATTCTGATTAAAAAAACTACGGGAATGTGGCGTCAACACCTACACAGTCAAATGGGTCACTAACTGGCTGGAGGGCTGCACGCAGAGAGTGGTGGATGGGTAATTTTCAACCTGGAGAGATGTGGGCAGTGGGGTCCCACAGGGCTCAGTCCTCAGACCTGGACTGTTCAACATCTTCATCAGCGACTTGGATGAGGGGGTAAAAAGCACCCTGTTCAAATTCACAGATGACACTAAGATGTATGGGGATGTAGGCACGCTAGAAGGGAGGAATAGGCTGCAATCAGACCTACACAGGTTATGGGGTGGGCAGATGAGAACAGGATGGGGTTCAACACTGACAAGTGCAAGGTGCTGCACCTGGGGAGGAAGAACCAGCACCATACCTACAGGCTGGGGAACTCCCCTCTCGTTACTACAGAGACTGAAAAGGACCTTGGAATCATTATTGATGCCAAAATGAACATGGGCCAATAGTGTGGGGACATG